GGAGCCAGACTTACCCTGCTGTGCTGTGAGAACCCCAACTCCTGGGCAGGGCACACCCAGCCTGTGGCATATAAGCTGCTTCTTAGATTGTGCAACCGCATGACACTAGCCAATATCTCCAGTCCCAGACACACCCCTAGGAACCTCCATCTTGCAGTGTTCAGTTGTACCTGCTGGATGCTGCAAGCTTATACAAGTTCATCAGTTTAACAAAGAAATTGATATGCACCAGGCTTATCTCAAGGGGAGTTTCTGACACACTTCAAACCAAACACACTGCTTCAGGCAGAACAAACCAACAGATATAATCACTTAAAATCTAGCTTTATAGTTAATAAAAGTCAAAGCATAAGTCAGATTTGGTCAAATGAAATAAAAGCAAAGCGCATTCTAACCTGATCTTATCACTCCCCGCGAGCAGCGTTTGCTTTGTCAGCAGGAGAGCGCTGACAAAGCCGCATTCACACAGCCACTTGCATCGGCAAAACAGTTGTTTTTCGTGGGGGGCTTTTTGAAGTACCTGTGAAAGACAAAAGTTTTGTCGACAACTTTGCAGTGTAGACATACCCTTAGTCCCTCTTCACTTAAGAGGTGATTTGGCTGTGCGCATCTCGCTTTCCGCTGTGATCCTGTGTCATCTTGCAAGCTAAGAAGAATTAATCTAACCTAGGTCTTCTGTGGGAGAGGTCCGAGGAGCAATTCACTTGTGCTGCAAGAAATGATTAATCTGTTTGTGGTACACCTGGGGGAAGAAAGTGTCGGAGGGATGGAATGGAACACTGCTACAGAAGGACCTCACTTTACATATGAAATGTATAACTGAGATACCAATTCCCTGTAGTTTTTTTTTAAGTCCCCTGATGCTTGTTTCCTAAAATAGAAGTGTTAACCCTGGCATCCTGGCCAACTAAGAACTAGATCAGGGTGGGCAAACTACGGCCCAGGTGCCGGATCTGGCCCGCCAGCTGTTTTAAGGTGGCCCTCGAGCTCCCGCTGGGGAGCGGAGTCTGGGGCTTGCCCCACTCCAGCATGCCAGCCGGCGTGCAGAGTCGGGGGCCGCTCCAGCTGGCTCCTGGAAGCAACGGCATGGCCCCACCCTGGAGCCCGCACCCCCTCCCATACCTAACCCCAATTTTCTGAGCATGGCCCACCATACAATTTCTATTCCCTCAGGCCAAAAAGTTTGCCCACCCCTGAACTAGATGGTGAGTTATGACTTCTTTAGAGTGTGCAAGAAATCAAGTTAATGCTAGAGTTACTTGGTGAAAAGCCTCTTCCCTTGTATTAAATTAACACATCTTTTAAAGAGTGAGAAGTTAATTTATGCAATAGGATCCATGCAGGAAGTGGTCACTGTGCAGCCGTGCCAGGGGCTCTGTGTTTTGCACTCAGGGCTCTGGAGATGGGAAAGGAGAAACCGCTTCCCAGATTTCGCTATTGAACATGGAAGCAGTACCTGGAGGCCACAAGCCATTGTACTGGGTGATGTACAGACAAGGAATGTCCCTGTTCCAAAGCGCTGACCCGTTAAACAATCAAATATAACAAATTAGGGTTACCATATTTCAGCAAGCAAAAAAGAGGATGGGAGGAGCCCTGCCCTAGCCCTAGCCTGCCCTAGCCCCACCCCTGCCCCTCCCACTTCCCGCCCCCCTCAGAACGCCCAACCCTCCCCCTGCTCCTTGTCCCCTGACTGACCCCTCCTGGGACCCCTGCCCCTAACTGCCCCCCAGGACTCCACCCCCTACCTAAGCCTCCCTGCCTCTTGTCCCCTGACTGCCCCCTCCTGAGACCCTCCCCCCATCCTAACTGGCCCCCTAGGACCCTACCCCCTACCTGTCCCTTGACTGCCCCAACCCTTATCCACACCCACAGACAGAGCC